TTTACTCTGAGATGAAGCATCTTGAGTGGGTCGTAATCCCACCAAACAGCACAAATCACTAGTGTGAGTGAAGAATGACCGTCTCACACGCTGCACTGTATCCTGACACTGCATATGATGCCATCCTCTATAACAGTGAGTAATCTATCTATCTATCTATCTATCTATCTATCTATCTATCTATCTATCTATCTATCTATCTATCTATCTATCTATCTATCTATCTATCTATCTATCTATCTATCTATCTATCTATCTATCTATCTATCTATCTATCTATCTATCTATCCACCTATACATCTATCTATCTATCTATCCACCTATACATCTATCTATCCATCTATCCATCCATCCATCCATCCATCCATCCATCTATCTTTCATCTGTCTGTCTATCTATCTATCTATCTATCTATCTATCTATCTATCTATCTATCTATCTATCTATCTATCTATCTATCTATCTATCATCTATCTATTTGTTATGGCATTACCGTTTAAATGCATACAGTAAACTAGTTAGCTGTTACCATTTTTCCTTTAATTATGATGCATCATAAGTAATGTGTAAAAAGGTTAACAATTTTTTTTTTTTTTACATTCCCATAAAAATATAAAAACGTTACTTCTTTATGTATTTGTTTAACTATTTTAAATGGAAAGCCAATAGTAGATACTATATGATACAAAAAAAAAAAACAGCTACTATATCAACAATTCCTTTGATTTAAGACTCTTTATAGGTCAGAGCTGCAGTTTATATCAGAGGTCCTGAATGAAACTCAACTCTATACCTCAGATACCTGCGCTGTTACATGATCTGAGGGGCTCAGGTGAACCCACCTGCTCTCACCGCCCAATCCTGAAGCAATGGAGAGGACAAATTAGGTCAATCCAATCACGATTGGACAAATAACATAAGGGACAATATGAATACATACAATATTGTTTTTTATTCTAAAATAAATCCACATTATTTCTACATGTCTAACATTTGTGTTCAGCAGAACTGAAATAATGCAGGACAAAGTGAGGCTTTGGAGAGCTTTAGATCTAATCCCACTTTCTCTATCCCTCCTTCCTTTTACCGATCTGAAGATGGATGGAAAACTCAACAGGGTTTTTTTTTGTTTTATCCCTCTAGTAATATCCCAAACACTAAGAAATAAGCTGGTTTTAACCTTTGCTCTTTGTTTTATTAAATCTGTCATCTGCATGTATACGGACAGGATTTGACATTAAAGCTGGTGTAAGGAGAAACTGCGCTTATAGCTGAGATGGATGAGATTTTTTTATTTTTTTTAATCCCGAGAGAGATTATGAGTCTGATTTTATAAAAGACGGAAGGAGAATATCCCATAATGCACCATGCTATGAGATCATTTACACTGGTACGTCAATAAAACTTGGATAAAAATACGTTAAAATAAACGTTCGAAAGAATACTCTTTTACTTTTCTGTTCAAATTATATCAAATCATAAAAAAATACAAGGAGGATTGGAAAGTGCTACTAAAATTTTCACCCTTTATTCAAATATGATTAAAAATGTGATTTTGCAAGCAGATTATGTAGTTGTGATTGGAGTCAGTTGTTTTATTCATGATAATGCAATGAAACATGCAGACATCATTTTTGGCCAGGCTGTCATACAAAGAAATTATGAACACATGCAAAAGCAAAAGAGAACCAACAAAATATTAATAACTGATTATGTTGACGTCAAGGTATGCTTTTTCCTGTGAGCTTTTTGTTTTTTTGAATGCATCTTTCTTTGCATAGTCAAATAAAACCTGCCTTTTTTGGCTCATTTTATACGTGTCACCAGTTTTAAAAATGCTAAATTCTTAATTGCCCTTGTGAAGTGATGCGGTTTGTGTCTGCACCCTCCGCTGCCAGCGTGAAATATTAATCACTTTGCTCTTTCTCTTTTCTCTTCTCTGCCAACAGCTGCTCCTGTACAATAGCGTTTCCCTCCCGGCTCCAAACACACACAGTCTCGTGTGCACAGACACACACACACACACCTGCAGCTGCTCCTCTGATGACAGACACTAAACTCAGGTAAGAGGCAACTTATACTTACTTTCGACTATGTAAGTTGACCTTAAGTTTTCCTTAAGTAAACCCTAGAACTGAGAAGGCAGGGGTTTCACGAGAAGATCTGTGTCCTGACAGAGGATGCGAGATACGACAGGTATCACAACACAACTTTACCAGTGTGTAGAAATTCTGTATTGTTTATTATGCATTTATATTTAATAAATTGCTATGTTCTTTTGTAATTATAAATTAGATATTATATTTGACCATTTAAAGTACAGGTTAGTACATGTTAAAAGGGGGAAAAGAAAATAGTGACTGTTTACGCAAACTGTGATTATTTTTTTCCTATAAATTTGAACCTAAAATATAATTTTGATCAAATAAAACATTGTGTACACATATAAACAAGTTCAATGCTCAGTACTAAACCGTCCTTGACCAGTAATTGTGTAACAGGCTTTGAACGTTTGTTTGCTCACCTGTATGGAAACACCTAGTGCAGCTCAACATGTAATTGTCCTGTTGATTTATACAGTTTATATTGGAAAACACTATATCCCAGGGCATCAAAATAACTATTTCTTATTCAAATTATATTATAATAAAGAACGATTCTGGTGCATTGAATTTGATTAATGATCTCACAAGTCATTATTGTAACAATAACCTAAACAATGCTTAACTGATCATTGAGTTTGGGCAAATTTATGTAATTTGATAAATAAATATGGAAGTTATACAGAAAATAAAAATATAGATTAGATATATTAGATATGATTATTATTATAATTTTTTTCTCTATATACACAGGACATATTTTTATATATATGTATTATTAAAAATAATGTTTATATATAATAAAAATATTCAATTTTTATTTTTTATATATATATATATATATAATAAAAATGGATATATATATATATATATAATCACTATGCAGAATCATTACTATTTAATTTATAAGAAATTAAGGAATGATTTTAATCAAATACTAAACATAATATATGGCATATACTCAATTTTTAAGTGTTTAAAATAAAAAGTAAATAAAATATTAAATAATAATAACTACGTATTTAATATTTAGATTATTATTAGTTATTTAATATATATATATATAGTATATACTATTAAATCTAAAAATGTTTATATATATAAATTAACATTTTTAGATTTAATATTTAATAATATAGATTATTATTTTTGTATTATTATATTATGCAAAACTATATATGTTATATATATATATATATATATATATATATACTGTATATACTGTATATATATAAATATTATGCAAAACTATGTTATATTTGATTATATAGAAATTAATTATTATAATGATAAATAATAAAATACAAACCCTATTCATATACTCAAACAAGTCCCAACAGTGCAACAGTGCCCAACAGTCAGTGTTTAAAAAATTTTTTATTTTTTTTTTAAAGAAAAGAAACATATTTTATAACATATAATTATATGTTAATTAATAAGAATAACCTATAAGAATGCATATAATATCCCAGATATTTAACCACTTAATAAAGATCTGGAATATTACATCTGAAAGTTTGCCAGATACAAACGTGGCTTTACACAAACTCAATTTGTTTTTCCACAGAACCTCCAGGATGCATCTGTTATTCATTCTTCCCTTGGTGTTGGAGGTACAGTCCATCTCCATGAACCACAACTTCACCTGTGACTGCAGCTGCCACATGGAGCTCAAAAGCGCTAACTGCACCAACAGCAATTTCTCCCGCCTGCCCATCGCCCTTCCACCATTCACTGAGCAACTGGACCTGTCCCACAACAACCTGAGTGCCATCCAGCCCAGAGCCTTCCAAACCACACGAAGACTTCGCGTCCTGTTCCTCAACGACAACGCCATTTACATGCTAGCCGACGGAGCGTTTTATCTGCTGGAAGATCTGTTGAGGTTGGACCTGAGCCGAAACCGAATCTCATCTCTGAGTGAAGGATTTTCACAGGGTCTCAGTTCCCTTCGAGATCTGTCATTGGCTGAGAACAGGTTGACCAGCTTGAACAGCAGTTGTTTCGTCCACTTGGACTCATTGCAAAGACTCAACCTCAGCAATAACGCTATCGAAACGATCAAGATGAGGGCGTTTGGGTCCATGAGTACCCTACGCCAGATACACCTCGCTTGGAACAACATAACGGTTCTCAAAAATGGCATCTTCTCCATGCTACGAAATCTTGAAATCCTAAATTTACATCACAACCGGATAGACAGCTTGGATGTCGGAGTGCTTTCTCCATTGACCAGTCTTGCTCTACTGGACCTCACCAACAACAGCCTTTCCACTATTCAATTCAAGACCTTCTTGAGTCTCAATACGTACAGCACGCACATAATGCTCGAAAACAACCCATTGAAGCGTGACTGCGATCTGCAGCGAGTCTTACGGAAGCTCTGTAACGTCAAACGACTGTTCCTGGACGACTACAACGAAATCTGCCCAAATTTGGATGAATTGGATCCCTGCATCGGCGAGATGGTTACTGTCCTGGTCATTACGGTCACCGTGGTCATCACCGTTGTGGCCGCCATCGTCATGGCGGAGAAGAAAAGGGGGAAAAGGAACAAAGAAAAGCATTGGACGGAAGCCAGCGAGTTGTCCTGTGCATCGCAATTGAACTAATTGAACTAATGACGACAGTGTAAAAAGGAACATTAATATCTCTTTGCTTTTTACTCATACCCAAATGTCTTACTCATTTATAAAAAGATTTAATAAAATGTCATGTGAACTCTATGTGAACTTGTGACCAGCCAGATATATATATAGTATGTAGCCTACTCATTTGAAATGAACATGAAGCTTCCGTGAAGAGAAATAGTTCCAAAACAAGAATTGAACGCTTATGTTCAGTGTTCACCATACATGTTGAACTGAACATAATTTATACACAAGATGGCGCTAAATAGCTATTTTTTGGCCTGGTTTCACAGACCGGGCTTAGATTCAACTAGGACATTTAAGTAGCTTTTATAAACGTGCCTTAGAAAGAAAAAAAAACATTACTGGTGTGCATCTTGAGACAAAACAATGGCACTGGCATATTTTAAGATATCTGAGTGCACGTTGTCGATTAAAACATGCATTTTAGTCTGGGACTAGACTTAAAGGAATAGTTCACTTAAAAATGTTCATTTAAAAAATTCTGTCATCAAGTTATTTCAAACCTGTATGAATTTCTTTCTTCTGCTAAACACAAAATAAGATATTTTGAAGAATTTTGGTAACCAAACAGTTGATGGAGCCCATTGAGTTCCATAGTATTTATTTTTTTCTACTATGGAAGTCAACGGGTTGGGCTGCATGCATTGTCACACCACGACAATAATGAGAAACACTAAAACAATAACAGTGCGCAATGATAAATGCATCATGTGTTCATCTATTACATATTACGTATTTTTATAATATTATCTAAGAGTGTCTCATCATGCAGTTACAATAATAATATTGTTAAACAAATAAAAGAGTGGCCAATTCATCTGTGTTTACATCGTATTCATTTTTAATGAAAACGAGCTGGGACGTCATCATCACGAGACAGCACGGCGAATCTGCCGCAAAACATGACCAATTTAGCTAAAAACAGATGCTTAAATTATATCTACTCCCTTCTGACGACGGAGATTTTATGTTAATTCACAAGAACTGAATTAACGCATTACTGCATTCATCAACGTTACACAGTGAGTATCAGAAACCTCACTGAATTTGGAGACTACAAATATTAGATAATATATCTGTATGATGTGAAATGTGAAGTGACTTTATCATTGATCACGATAAACATTGTTGTTGAAAACCTAATCTACCCTTCCAGGATGGGTAGTGGTTTAAGCTAATGCATGTTATAAATGAGCTGCTGTCACAGAGTGAGCTTCTTTAACATTATATCAAAGAAGCTTTTACATGAAAAAAAAAAAAATATATATATATATATATATATATATATATATATATATATATATATATATATATATATTCATGTAAAAGCTTCCACTGTCCCATATATAACATTCAAGTGTGTGAAAGTGCACCTTTGGAAATCTAAAATACTATGTGGACAATGGACGCTATAAAATACTATTTAGCTAGTTTAAAGTAGGCCTATATCTGTTTCGGTGCCGATTTATTTTTATTTTTTATTTTTATTTTATTTTTGACCTTCTTAATATGGCCATCTAGCAACGTCAGCACGTTTGACTTGCTATTCAGAAGCCGTGCCTTCTCCAGAAGAATCTGAGCTAGCTAGCAACGTCAGCACCTAATTAATATTCATGAGGAAAGCCCCAAGTCAGTCGGGTTTGTGCTCAGGTGAACAGTGGATTCTTGCCACCAAGCAGCAAAAATGCCTTGACAGGACATTAAATAAGGGAGAAATTACCTGTTTGGACTGGCAGAGATGCCAAAATTCCAAAACACGGTCCATTAAACAAAACAATCATTGGAAATGGAAGAAAATCAACTTCATCATCGAAACTAGTCGGTTTCAAAGTAGTCAACTCACCTGAAAGTACCGAGACTACAGGTAAATGCACAGTGACTGTTTTCTCATGACATACGTTCGGTTATTTAACTTTAATTATGTAATTATATACACAACATTTGGACTTGATGGACTTTTCTTCGCCGTTTCCTGCAATTATTGGATATAAGACGGTTTTGTGACCCGGGCCTTTTAGTCGCTATAGGTTCTCATAAGAAACAGTACAAAGAATTTTCCAGAAATAGCTGAAAGACTTTAACGAACACGGTTTATCCTTTATTAAAATACATTTCAGTAAAGGAAGTGCTAACACTTCCGTAAAAGTGGGTCAACTTGAGGCAGGCGCGCCAGAAACCTCCATTACGAATATACATCACGATCAATGTTCATATAGCTAGGCCTAGGCCTACGTTATATTTAAATTCATTAAGGAATTCTAAAAATTAAATTGCTTCTAAGACTCTTTTATAGTGTAGCCTAATACATAATCTAACATAATATGCTTTGTGTTAATGTAATGTAACCCTCATTGTTCTGTTCTGTCTTTGTGCTTGTAAATGTTATCTGTATCTTGCACAATAAAAAAAAATACTTAATATACCTTTGAATATAATACTCGTTTACCACTTAGTGAATATGGCACAGTATACACTCTATGCTGCTGCTGCTTACTCTTTTGATATAATGTGAACCCTGCCCAGTATGCACCAATACTTTCATAATATAGTAGTATGCTACATTGTCACATTATTATTTTGCATACTGTTAATAGTTTGCTTGTACTGCAGCACAATGTTAGTATATACTCAACATAGCTTTGCTAAACAATGTTAATTTATAAGTCTTTATGCCATAATTAGTGTTCTGATGGTAAGTTTTCAGGTTGGTTAGCTTTTTCTAAAACCGTCAATGCTCTGAGAATAATGATGAAAAAAAAAAGACACAGATCTTTACAGTGTTTTAAAGTTGGCATGAAATGGAAGTTGCGCTAGACTCTTCTTCCTTATAGACCAATTTCGAGTCGACATCACAGTTACGTCACGGCGCTAGCTGGAGGCAAAACAAATGGAAAACTGGAGGGGGCCGGCCAATACAAACCAGCACAGATTCGGCTACATAATAAGGAACTTAAATTATTATTATTATTAAATGTCATCTTGTTGTGTTGTTGGGTGCAAGAATTGATGAAAAATGAATGAAAAATTATTTCTAGAAAATATTCACATCATTAAAATTGCACCGTAATGTCACTCTTTACATTGTCGTCTTCTTTGCGCTGGCTTGGCAGAACTGTGGATCATACCACACAGGTCTTGTACATGACCATTCAGCAGATAGTTATAGGTATTTAAAGATTTATGTGCCCTCAGTTTCTCTTTACGCTCGGTTTCTCTATCGGATAGGTGTAGAAGTCAGGCCACTCAACTGGAGGTAGCGTTAACATTTATCCTGTCAGATCGTCCATCCATTGACAGCGTGTACAGTACAGGTCAGCCAATCTGGTTCCGTCCGTTAAAATTAACTTTTGCAAATAACAATCGCGGTCCTGGACAGCGAGTGACCTTACACATTAAGATAAAATCGGATTTTCTACAGTCATTGTTAAAAAACAAGCTAACAAAACTTGCAAACTAACGTTAGGGAAGCGGCCAGAGGGATCGTTCTGCCTCCACCTAAGCTCTGCCCAGAAAAAAATGTCACCATGTTTACCAACTGGAAATTGGTCTATTGTGACGTATAACAGAGTGAAATGGCTTCTCAAACAAGAAAAAACATGGGGTGGAAATGTCGCCGCAAAAGGGAAGGGGAGTTATTTGGATTAAAGATTATGAAGGCACATTGATTTAAAAAAATAATAACTGTCAATTTTGATTTCATGGTGACTTTAAAGTCAACATGGAATCAAAACTGAACTTAACTTGTGTTACATTTTCATCAAATATTTTGTGAATATCCTATTTACAAACAGTCTCAGTCTCATGTTAATATTAAATGTAATTTTTAATGCATTTTAGACATTTATATGTTAATGATCTTTATCCCAACCTTAGGAACATCAAAGCACCCCAGCAAAGATGGCAGACGACCGCATAGCCATCTTAACTGATGATGAAGAAGAGCTGAAAAGGAGACACCTTGAGCGCTTTGACCGTCTGTCGCTTGAGATTCAATCAGATCAACCATCCCAACCATCTGAGAACAATGTGCCTAATGATACGGCACCAACTCCATCACCTCAACACAACATGGGCTGCTGCGAAAGATTGTGCCTACGGGTCAACCGCCGCCTCCTTGTGTCAAAAGTGTTTTATTTATTCTTCTATGCTGCATATGGTTCCCTCCATCCACTTCTTGCTCTGTTCTACAAGCAGCTGGGGATGAATCCCACCCAAAGTGGTCTCCTAGTGGGAATCCGATATTTCATTGAGTTCTGTAGTGCCCCTTTTTGGGGCATTGTTGCAGATCGCTACAGGAAAGGTAAAGCGGTCTTATTGTTCTCAATGTTATGTTGGCTCTTCTTCAATTCTGGGATTGGCTTTGTGCAGCCTCCAGATATGAAGTGTAAAGAGAACCTCCCGACGACCACAACAATGGCAACAACCGTCAATCCTACCACATCTAACGAGACATTGTACCTCAACACCAGTTCTATCCTAACAACAAATCAGATGAGACAGCGCAGGGATCTGTACGGACACTACCCTTGGCGAACGATCCTCTTGTCTGTTCAGTCTTCAGACTACAGCTCTGAACACCGGTTCAAACGGGATTCCAACACGAGTTTCACTGTGGCATCAGATGAACCAGCTAACACGACAGAATCTGACCAAACCACGACCACGCGGCCTGAGCCAAGTACATCCTTCTCAACGTCAACCCCCAACAACACAAACACAACGTCCAGTAGCACTACTCAAAGTACCACATTGAAACCAAATCTGCCGCCTCCTGAATATAACATGGACCAGGTTCATGACATTTTCCTGTTGATTCTGCTCGTCATCATCGTTGGCGAGTTTTTCAGCGCTCCAGCTATTACAATCGTAGATACGGTACGTAACTCTTTCTCCTCAAAATAAACTCAATATTAAGGCATATCAGTTAGTAGAGTCCATTTTATAGGCCATGTAGGACCATGAACTTCCATTTGTATTTAAACGTTAGACATGAGACCAAACTACAGTCCTTTTTCCACTGTAAGGGTGTTGGTGCTTGAGCCACTTTCCAACCTGGAACCACTCTGTGTGTTTCCACTTTTGAAAAGGTGCTTCTAGGATTGAAAATTTGGCTCCATGCTGGTCCCTAAAAGCAGAAGGAAATTTCAGTGTCCGTGGGGTGGGGTGGTATCAAGTAAAGTAGGCAGAGTAACAATCTGGATGATGTGAAACAAAACAAGATTTCAAGAAGGCTTTCTATGTCAAAATTTGTTTATTTTTGGGCAGGTTATGTAGAAAGTGATATGTGAAGGCCATGTATGGTAACCCATACTCAGAATTTGTCATATTTTTTTACCCATCCACGTTAGTGCACACACATTAGGAGCAGAGTAGTGAACTGCAAACCTTCATACACACACGGATCAGTGGGTAGCCATTAGGTGTGGCGCCCGGGCAGCGATTAGGGGTTAGGTGCCTTGCTCAAGGGCACCTCAGTCAGGCACCTTTGGATTACCAGTCAGACTCACTAAACATTTGCCCATGACTGTAATCATAGAATCAAAGCTAGTTTCACTAGGAGCATATCTCTGTTCCCAGGGAAGTTTGTTAGGGTTATTGGAACATAGTTAACCCTGGGAACATTGAGACATTCATTATTTGCCATATAACTCTGGGGAATTTAGTACCCTGGGAATGTAGGAATTACATTGCTGTTCAGTTCTCAAGGAAACTTAGATCCTCCGGGCCCTGCACCATTTTGGTGAAAAAGAGGTATGTGTTGTGTCTAAAACAGGTGCATGTCTATTTGGATTGTTGTAGGTGACGCTCCAGTACCTGGGTCCGCACCGTGACCGCTACGGTCTCCAGCGAATGTGGGGATCTCTAGGCTGGGGTATCGCCATGCTCTGCGTCGGCATCTGGATCGACCACACTAGCACCAACCTTGTCATTGGCAAAATGGAATGCGTCATGGAAAATTACAAGGACTACCGTATTGCCTTCATCGTGTTTGGAGTATTAATGGCAGTTGCTCTGATCATTGCCACTCAGTTTAAGTTTAATGTTTCGCACCAAGGCAACAGTGAAGAAAACGAGGTTGGCAACCAGCCTAGAGGATCCCCTGGAATGGCTAACTCCGAGATCTCAACAATTGTCCAAGCTGAGGAGTTCCACTTCTGGGACTTGATGAGACTGCTGTGCGGCGTACAGTACGGCACTGTGTTATTCGTTGCCTGGTTCATGGGCTTCGGCTATGGGTTTGTTTTTACTTTCCTTTACTGGCATTTACAGGACCTGACAGGAACCACAACTCTGTTTGGTGTTTGCTCTGTGCTGAGTCACGTGTCGGAGCTTGCTGCCTATTTCACCAGCCATAAATTCATTGAACTGGTGGGGCACATCAGGTGAGGATCCTGTGATTCTTTGTTATCTTAGAATTAGAATGACCAGTTAAGTTTTTAATCTGGATTCGCTAAAGTTAAACTTTTTCTTTTCTTTTTTTGTTCTTTAATTGACATTATCTCTTATGGTAACACACTTTCCATAAGGTGCAAAGTTCTAACTATTACAGGTTCACTCCAGGTGCAAATGTGTAAAAAATTAAGAATTTATAATTGTCTTGAAAAATATTTTTTTGTTGTCAACAATATCTAAGGTAGCATTGCCAGTATATTTCAAGGATAAAGTATCCATTTTACTGTTTTGTGTAGCTGCTAGGCGGCTGCTCACTGGCCCGAATCAAAAAGTGTTTGTGTATCAGGTTGTTAGCTTAGCCACATGCTAACATAAAATTCTTTTGAAATCAACTTATAAGGTTTCAAATGACTTAAAGCTGCAGTAGGGAGTTTTGAGAAAACGTTGACTTAGCCTGAAAATTTGAACAAGCACAGCTTACAGGTCCCACCCCCTTGCTCTCTGCTGCACTACAGTCCTCCCTCCACAGCTCGTCCTCCACAGCGGAGCCTGTCGTGAACGTGCAGGCTAGTAAACAGGGCCACCCATAACAGCGGATAAAAAGTTATATGGCACATTCACTAATAGGGACTAAACATCAACAATATGCTTTACATTGACTATGGCCTGCCCATACTTTGACTACAAACTTGGTCCTCAAATCATTATGTATTTTGCAATAGCCTATGTAACTTTATAACGTTGCACTCTTTCTATAAGTTATAAATAGCTAGTAAGATAACGTTAATATAACGGTAACTAACGTTACAGTATGTAAGTAATTATTCTAGCGATATATAATGCTAGATAAGGTGTGCTAGTACATTATTTCAGCAACATGACAAGCCAGTGAATTAGCAGGTTTCAATTGTTGCTTAGCAGAGTGCGTGACATTTTATCTACATGTTAGAGTTTTGACACCGAGTCAATGGGCTCTGTGTAATTCTTTCTTTTTCGCTTGTTTATCGTCATCAGTCTTTTTCCTTTTACTTCTTTGTTTTATGAGCAGGTGTCACTCGAGAATTGGCAGTTTAGGTTGTTTCTCCGTCATTAGCACAGCTGCAGCACACCGGCAATCTTGAGTTTGAACGACGGCTCGCGCTGTGCAAGAGAGGGGTGTGATCAGCACGTACACGAGCGTGATTGACAGTGCTAAGACATTCCTCCTGGCTCTGATTGGTTGTTTCTGACCGGGAGTGTGTATTTCTGCAAATGGCTATAGGACCACTGGGAGGAGCCAGAAGAGCTTGATTTTTTTTCACAGATTATCTGTCTCATATTCTACTGTCAGGACATAATGACAGTTTTAACAAATATGTAAAAAATATTTTTAACAAAAGTTAAAAGTTTACAGCAGCTTTAAGTTGTGTCGCAAATGATACACTATATAATACACACTCATACTGTGCACTTTGTACTCATCCATTTAATCAATTTTTAAATGTTCAGTGTGAACACACTACTCGCACTATTTATACTTCAAAACGGCATTTAATAGTGCACAAGTATGCGAAATGGGATGCACCTTTACTTATAAGGTTCCCTTTCAGTTAGGAAAATACTTTGGTTGGTTTCTACTTATGTAGGCCACAAGGCAGCTCGCTAGTGGTCAGAACAGGGGCACTCATTTGACTTCACATATCTACCACTGCTTCTGAATCAAACCATCATACAGTAGTAGTTTAGTCCAGTCACAGCAGAGGCTTGTCCAGGTAACCCAAACCATCTCACTGCACCTTGTGACTCAAGCTCATTTGATCCTGACCTTGAATCAGTGAGCCTTTGTTCGTGGTGCTGTCTTGCAACTCTTTAGATCTGCACTGAGATCAGTGAGGCATTGTTTGGTTAAAAGGCCTGGTTCAAGAACACAGCCTTTTTCTTTCAGCGGTGGCCCAATTCTGGAATACATTTCACAGCAGCTACAGTGTCCACTGAGTGGCTCCTTTCAAAGAGCGAACATTTATGCTCTCTTGGTGTTTTAACTATTTCTCTATAACTACTTAAGTTATAGAGAAAACCATATGACTGAATGATTGACAGATCAATATAAATTTATAAGTAATCTCACCTTTGAAAAGTTCAGGCGATACAACTTCTTGTAAGAGGCTGTAAAAGATTTGAGGAATTTCCTGTTCGACATTTGTATATTTTATAAACTCTTCTTTAAAAGATGACCTGCACAGAGTGTAAAGATTTTGCTGATATGACTATGCAGTTAAATCTAAACTAGAGTCTTGTTTTACCGCACAGAGGAAGTTATGATGAGTCATCATTTGCATGGAGAAAATGAAACTTGTTTGTATGACCATCAAAATGTTTTTGTATTGCAAATATAAACTACAATTACTCTATTATTATGAATTCAATTATTTATACTTGTATATTTTACTTATTTAATAATAATAGTTACATATACGCTACATTTAACTCCTATTTTCATAGGGTGCACTTAATTCAAAATAGACTTTATTTTCTTTAATTGAAATATATCTATTTTTTTCCTGTAGATTTTTGGGGTGAAACATGAGCTTAAATATTTTTGGAGGTTCATGCATGTATTTTTAATAAAATTGTGTTTCTTTTTTGTCAGAGTTTTGTACATCGGCCTGGCCTGCAACACGGCACGCTACCTGTATATCTCATACCTGGAGAATGCCTGGACTGTGCTGCCCATGGAAGTGCTACAAGGTATGAATGGCAGTCATCAAGCTCTCAATCGTAGGCAAAAAGCAAATACTACAATCATACAAATGTGTAAATGTGTTCTGTTTTAAACCATCAAATTAAGTCATAATAAAAGTAGAGAGATGTGCAGAACAAAGAAAGGCCAGGTTTCATTACAGGAGAAGATAACAAGTCAGTTTGGCGTTGTCAGGTTCACCGCCCTTTCCTGTGGCATAACAATCAATAAAAAAGCAAGCTTGTAGACGCATTACAGAGAGAATACATTGGAATGAAGACCTGGATCAAGTCTGTTTACATTCAACACAGACGCCATTTTGTCTCTTCAGAGAAACGTCAGCAGTTACAGACTTATTATCCACCGCGCCTTTGTACTTTGAAGTCCAAGTAATAACAAAAGTTTTTTCATGTCATGAGACAGATTTGTGTGTTTGCACATATAGGTACAGGTACAGGCTGAACTTTTATAACTTTGTCAAAACACTTGTTTTTTCACACACTGGCCCAGGGCTCGAATTTCGGCGCGGGTATTGCGCATAATTCTAATCATTCCCGCAGGTCTCCCATTTATAATGCGGGAAATTCCCGCAATCGTAATCCACACAGATTATAAAATCAAATCATTCTTTTAACAACTCTCAGCCAGACGCAATTTCACAAACAGCGTGAGTGTTCAGCGGTGCCGCGTCTTCTATCTCTTCTCTCAAAATGTGTTATGTAAGGCAAGCATCAAGCGCTGCGGCGATAATACACGCGTTTAGGACTTGCGTTTACTTGCACAATCGGGCCAGCAGTGCATCGTGACTGAAGTTTACCATTTGCACGTCTTTTTAAGTCTTACCAGTTTAATAATTCAAGCGATTTTAAACTAATCAGTGCTCGCCCGCTCTCTGAGTTAATTTTCTATGCGCACATTCAAAGAAAATCCGCCTCAAAAACAGCTGGCCAGTAACAAAAGTTATTTTTCGCGGATTATATTGCTTTAACACGCAAAATTGTCAATTTCGGTCTTCGTGAGTATACTCTAAACATAGTCGGTTTTGTCTGTAATAAGCATAAAACGCATGCCAGTATAATGAACACAGGATCCGTGCACTAGCTCTTAAAGTGACGGAAGCCATATGTGTCTGTCATTATTTTGTTGTCAAAACAACAAAATATAGCTTTAAGTTAAAGGAATCAGGATTAATAGCCTATGTATTTAATTTATTCAGGACTAAAATACTACCCAGTGTTATTTTCCATTTGATTACTTTATTCAGTTTCTGTATATGAATAGTGTTAGACCCATTGAAAAACCTTTCTCTTTAATTGTCTTTATTTGTGTCTTTATTCTATTGTATTTATTTGTGCTACTTTTTTCAATTTAATTAAACAATTTAAATCAAGCTTCCTTGTGATGTGTAAATTCTTAACAACAATATTACCCCATTGAATTTACCCCATTGCGCAAACATTTAGGCAAGATGAATGTAATAATTTTGTTTGGAAAAAATGCCCCCCCTTTCCCCCCCTCAAAAAAAAAAAATCCCCCCCATGAGAATCATCTAAGGGGGGATTTCCCCCCCATTTTCCAAAACGAAATTCAGGCCCTGCTGGCCAGTCTTGATAACATTAAGCGTAGCGTCAGTTCTGGCAGGTCACGTTAGTCAAGCTCGCATCAGCTGTCTCTCAGCTGATCCGGTCTACCTATAGGAATACGACGCCTATCACTGTATACAAGCTCCTTCAGTATTATCAGCAGATATGGCGTTTCTCAGGAGCTAATACCCTCCTCCATCCCCAGCTCCTCCTCTCGTCCAGTCAGTATGGCATGCTGATTCCCGTTGAATCAAAATAAATTCTCGAATTATGTTGTTCTTTAAAATCTTGAATTAATGATATCTGCAATACATTCATGTTGGTTCTGTTCTGTTTTGTTTTGAGGGGTTATTGCTGCTCTCCCTGCTTTTATCCATGCTAGGCTGCATGGATGCGCAGGGAGTTCTCACCCAGAACAGAACCATACCGCCAATCCAAACAGAATGCTAATTGACCCTTCGCTAAGCCACGCCCGAAAACCGCCACTGGCCAATCGTGGCTTAGCAACCGTAACTAGGCGCGGGAGGTCTGTCAAGCTTTCGAGCTGAGGGAAACATGCCGACGCGTTGTGCGTATGGATTGTGCAAATCTGATACCCGGTATTCTAAAAGTTTGGACGGTGGGGTGGCATTTTTTCTCTTCCCGAAATCTAAAAGCCAAAGGGGAGAAATCCAGGGCATGGATCAAGCAGTGTGGAGACCCATTCACAACTAAATGTCAACAGGATTAACAAAACAAAAAACCGCCTATTGCTTGGAAATAATGGCGGTTCTTTGTTCATAATGCATATATTTGAACGTAAAATAAGACGATTAAAGGCAAGACGGAGGCTCACTGACATACTTTAAAATATGTTTCAGCATTGTGTTAATCGACGGCGGACGGCCTACTAACGTTAACTTTACCCCTGTTTACCCCAATCCGATCGCGGCTCTCCCGGTGTTAGATTGGTGGATAAGCTGTTTGATTTGTAATTATTAGATTATTTTCACATTTCACTTACTCTGCTGTGCATGAACATAGCTGTTCAATTTGTGTTTCCCATGTGAATGGTCTGCTAAGGAGGCGGCTGCTGCCTGCGCTGGGACCTAACGTTATAGGCTTTAGCTTCAATTTTGATGAAATTATTCTCTAATCGGTTGCATATTATGTCGTGGATATATCCCTCGAATGCATACTGCTGTCCCTTTTGTCTTGCTCTCTCAGATATTTCACCTGTTCGCCAAAAATGACTAATTATCTCCTTGGGAATGTCTGACACCGGTGCATTCACACTGTAATAGACGTGGCAGCCGCGAAAGCTTGACAGGCGTAGCAACAGTAACTAAGGAGGGCGGGGCTTAGCGAAGGGTCAATTGTCAATTGTAGTTGACGATAGTGGTCCTGACAGAAATGTTATTTCAAACAGTGAAAAGTAAACATCCAAAATACACATTTAAGTGTTAATTGTATTGCACTTTATCTATTTGTGTCTAGATTTAAATTACAATACAAATCTTAAAAGGCCGTCTTCTCAAAATGAGGTTTTTTTTTTGCTTCACTTCAGCTGCACTTACATATATTTTGAATGTTTTACTGATGGGTTCATATATCAGTTGCCTGGTTTTAACATTTTATTCCTAAAAACATGGTGAAAATGTTTTTTTTCTTCTTCTGGCTGTTGTTGACAGTATTTTCTGATTTATGGCATGATAAAAAGAGATATCCCAAATCCCTTCTGTAAAAACTTTTGAATCTATTGTCTCAAAGTGAAACAAGAATTTTGAACCTGGCTCTATCCAATGTTCAGATTTCTGTTCTGAAAAGAAATGCTAATTTGTGCATATTTAATTACACAATGCTCAATTGCATATTTAAACATAACATTTAAGAAAACTTGTAATACAAAAATGTTTGCAATTTTTAATGTAATCAGTCAACTGGGGAAGTATGGTGATATCTATTAGTAAATGTTTTACCCTGTTCATCTGGGGTGTCTTGCCTTAATTAAACAGCATTGTGTTTTTATATCAGTAGAATTTTTCACCAGAAACGTGAGAAATATAAAAATTTATAATTTGATTTATTTTTATGTATTTGTTTTTTTAATTAATTATTTTATTCATTTGTTTTGGACACTTAAGCTTTATATTATGTTGTATAATTTTATGTTATCGCAATTATACATTTATATAATAATATAATTTTGTGTACCTGCACAGGAATAACGCACGCGTCTGTTTGGGCGTCGTGTATCTCGTATTTGAGCGCGGCCGTACCTCCGGCGCTTCGGACGTCAGCTCAGGGTATCCTGCAGGGTCTCCACCTCGGCCTGGGCAGGGGCTGCGGGGCCATGGTCGGCGGTATATTCGTCAACTACTTTGGTATATGAACATTGGTGATTGTTTTTATAATTTAATGACATTTAAGAATCCCTGTGTGTATGTGTGTGTGTATAAACGGGTTTGTCTTGTTTTTCAGGTGCTGCCAAAACGTTCAGAGTGATAGGAATGACCTCACTTGTAATTTTGCTCTTATTTTCATTAATTATGTACATTACTGGCCAGAATGAGAAAAAAGGTGAGGAGCACAATCTTATTCATTGTTTATTGTTGTAAAGTAACAGCTGCAGAACAACGGAAAAATGTAAATCACACTTTTTGACAATTATTGGGGAGTAACTAACAATATAAGTATTAACACAACTAACTTAACTACATTTAGTCTAATTCATTATTAGTAAAATAAACATTTTCAGTAGAATAACAATAGCACTTTTTTTTCTAAAATTCTTAACGAAATAGTGAAAATTGTATTATGTGACATTGTATTGTGTATTGTGAGCTAAGTTAATCAAACTCAGGGTACGTTTAAATGTACTAAAAAAAGGAAAAGTTTTTCCTTTGCATTTTTCCGTCCAGACGACAACATTGTCAAAACAATCCCGTTCACAAGGATCTGTGAAAACGACAAAAAAAAGCTGTATTCTGCTGCCAGGCCAGTAGATGGCGATGTCACTTTGTAAAGAAACACTACGCCCCTGATTGAACACGTAATACATAGTTCCCACAGGCCAATTAATGTCACGTGACCTCCCCGGAGACGCCATCTTTGAGGGCATAAACTGCCCTGTTTACAAAGTTTTAACAACAAATTTCGAATATTTCTTTCGGTTTGTAATGTTACGAAAATCATGAAGAGACAAAGTGGCAGAGATTATAAAGAGACTATTAACACAAGACAGAGAGAGGTACAATGTGAAAATTTCAGTCATAAATGGTGTGGAGGAAGCACTGAGCACTGATTATCCAGCTTTGCCTCATACAGTATTATCATGTGTAACGTTACCATTATCTGGTATTTTATACACACGTGAGCAATTCCGAGCCTGGAAATCACTGGAGGCGTACAATCAGTTTGTCGAGGGTTGGGTTGGTGACGTTTGCTCAAGTGCAATCAATGGAAAAGTAGTCATAGCGAATGTATGTAGAGTGATGCTAGACTATCTGTCTATTAAAAAGCCATAGCCTTCATAACAGCCCTTATAACAGTCATCGGTGCTTTCTGTAATATGCATGTACTTATGTGTACACTGAAGAATAGGGTTGGAATGGTACATGCATTTGTATTGAACCGAAACTGTACGGGCGTCACGGTTCAGTGCATGGATATACACGGTATAAAAATAAATAAAACTTGCGTGCAAATTAATTAATGTAAGTTAATGCGGAACTACTTTATACGCGGGTTCTTTAGGGACAGCTGGAGTGTGTGTGTGTGTGTGTGAGAGTCGCGCGCGCGATCGAATAGTGGAAACTGTTGTTTTTAATACCTCGTCATTATGTTACATTATGTTACGTCATTATCATTCAAACTGCAAAGTGTTAACTTGTTTATTATCCTCGCAGCCATAACCTCCGTCGTTGTTCTGACAAAAGCTTAGTCTTATATACTTAGGGTATACTGTAAAATCCAAATTTAACTGAACCTCCGGCACGATTTGAACATCCATTGACCCAGCAGGAGATGACCATTTTCACTTTTTATCACGAAATTAACTCGTTTCAGCTTCTTCTTCTAATATTCTGCCCGAAACATGCCCACAGAAATGGCGCAGGGTCGGCAAATGCCCGTATGTTGTGACGTCATGTGGGAACTATGTATACACATGCGCATGATGTTGCCATTTTCACAAATTCTCATTTTTGTAGTTTACACAGAGACAATAACAGTATCGTTTTATAAAAACTTGCACTTTGAAACCCGTTTTAGAAATTTTTCCCCCGCTTTTAGTTGAGAGCGGTGTCATGTAAACGGCCCCTAAAACGTCTTCTCCAGGAAGTCCAATTACGTTTAGCTCAGCAATTCATTGGGATGGTTTGTTAAAATATTAAATTATTTTTTTATTCATCTGTTCAACAATCTTCTTTTTTTTTTGCGAAAGTTTATTTTTAATGTAAACTAAGTGGCACAATTTAACACTAAAATATTTGTCACTAGCCTCTTAACAGTTTTTTGCATACTATTAGATAGTTTCTATAAATTACAAGAAGCTTTACAGCTTCAACACATATCCATTTGAGCTGATATTCTCAGAACACCACACAGCACCGTCATCGGCTGACAGCTGACAGTCTGAGTCTCCACTGTTGCTTAGTTACCAATGATCGCGCGCGCGCACTCCACAATCGCCTACTGTGGACTTCGACCGAAAACAGGAAGAAAATACGGGTATGTGAGCTGGCTGAATAAACATCATTTTTATTCATATCTTTCACATTTACCGCAGTCAGATTCACCGTGTTCACTCACATGGCTGTGCACTTGTAATGACACATTAAGGTTGTTAAGAGGCTAAAAGCAGGTTTAAAACTTGTCCCGTTTAAGTCAACAGGGTGCGAATTTTAAAAAGAGGATAACACGGTCGGTTTTTGTCATTGTTATCTGTACTGACAGCACTCCAAATTTACAAAAAATGAGCTCAATGTTAAAATTGACCGGAGTTTTCCTTTAACGTTTGAACAACGTTACCATGGGAGTGAACGGAGTTGTCTGAACGCTTAATAAAGTTTGACTTTATCTGACTGTTTTGTTGACATTTGTTGACATCTAGTGGATGCATAACGCAAACCCAGTCAAACGTTTGACTGCAGTATCTTATGCGCCTTATAATCCGGTGCGCCCTATATATGAAAAATGTTCTAAAATAGGTCATTCATCGAAGGTGCGCCTTATAATCCGGTGCGCCTTATAGTGCGGAAATAAGTAGTTTCATTCACATTTGAATGAAATGTAGAAGATTTTATATTTTATTTATTTTAAATCTTAAATTGTTTATTTTTTACCCCACAGAGGACAAGATGCTAGCAGAGAACATTCCTATCCCGTTCAGTCCTGTTCCCATAGCGACCATCCACCTGGTTCAGAACACCCCAGACGTGGTGGCACCAACTCGACCCGAGCCCAAATTTCCAGCTCGGAAAACGAGGCACCAGGAAGACCAGGAGGATCTGAACAAGCCTGCTTGGGTTCCCTCCGGGTCGCCGTGGGTTTCAGTCGTTCTACTGTTTTACCAAATCAGAGAGATGGTCATCATGGCAAAGACACACCACCCTGTTGATGTCCAGCCCCTTCAGGTAGCACAGAGGATGATGGGAAAATAGTAGGATGATGATGATAATGAATAATATGAATCTAAATGTTTTTGAAATAGTATGTTGTATGTTGAGTGTTTTCTCTCTCGTTTTATGCATTCTTTGGCAGAAAGGTGAGTGCATAGATTTAGTTGAAAATTATAAACTGTGTATATATTTTCAGCATCATTACTCCAGTCTTCAGTGTCACATGATCCTTCAGAAATCACTCTAATATGATGATTTGCTGCTCAAGAAACATTTGTTTTATCAATGTTGAAAACAGATGTGCTGCTTAAAGGGATACTCCACCCTTTTTTTTAAATTAAACTGTTATTCCCTTAACTAAGACGAGTTGATGCATTCCTCTCTCGTCTCAGTGCGTGCGCTCAATCGCTCTGTCTTGCGGTGAAAGTTTGTTAGCACTTAGCTTAGCCCAGTTCATTCATTAGGATCCAAGCAGAGAAGCGACCAAACACCTCCACGGTTTCCCTATTGCCAAAATTTGAACTTAAGTGTTGTCTGATGCGACTTAAATTATAAAGTATAAAATATAAAGTAGGGTAAAGCATAATTTTTGCTTATTGTTTTTTACTTCAACAAGTTCAGTGTGACTAAACACTGTAAATTATTTGTAAATAATTTTTTCTACACCAAGACTATTTGCACCAAAACCAGAAATATTTTAGGGTGGTTTTTCATAGCGAAATTGACCATTATTTTTGTTATTTCATCATCATAATTTGGGATGGATCAGCACACATGCAAGTAAACGATAGGATTTGTTCTACCAACTATTTACACTGACAAACTTTCATTATCAGGAAAAAAATGTTTAGTTACCTGAATCAATTAGCAACTGAACAATGAAAAATTAACCTAGTCTTAAATAAAATAATCACATTAGGTTTTTTTTCAAAACTTTGTGAAGATGCATTTTTGTTTTTTATTTTTATTATATAATTATTATTTTTTAGCAGGTATTCTATTTGGTGTCATCAGATGTGAATTAACTTCATTAAATGTGTTAAACTGACTGTTTCTCTAACTAGGACACAGATGAGGTCCTCTCAGACTCTCGAGAAGATGACCTATCACCTGCAGTCTTTAGCAATGCTTTGCGGCAGGAAAGCTTTCCTAGCGCTCTCCAGTCCCAGGAGGACCCCGGGCCCCCAGGGGCCACTGCACAGCTGGAATTCCCACCACAGTCTGTATTACAACCTGTGAGCTAGAGCTGATGCCACAAACTGACTCAGTAACCCGCGGGTATTTTCTTTTCACACTGACTTCATTTTGTTTTCTTTGTGAAGTTTTTTTATGAACTACTTGGGGAAATACAAGGAAGATGAATGTACTTCGCTGTATAAGTGCCTTTGTATGATTTTTAACTTATTTCCAGTTGTTTTGCTCAAGCTTTAAATAAAACCTGGCAGGTTTTAATCCGTAACTTTTGCCTGTTTTCACTTTCTTCGACCTGTAGAGGGCAGCAGCGCCTGGGCATTTCTGCCCATACACAATTGAGGTTTATGAGATCTTCCTTGTGAAACGCTATAAATGTAAGTGAACTTAAATAGGTGAATTACTTACACTCACTAACGTCATTACTTCATCATTGCATTGTGTATAACAGGGACATTTGCTTTCACACTTTCACCTGTGATTTGTAATGTAGGTGTAAAAGAGTTGGAGAAATTTTTGCAAGGGGATTTTATTGTGTTTTTATCACCTCTCTCACCATTAAAGACACCAGCTTTCTTCTCACTTAGACTGGTGGATGATTATGTCAGACATCTCCTGTTCCTATGTAAACCAGACCATAGTGCTTTGCTTAATAGGTGGCTTCTTGGTAATGATCAGATAGACTTGAATTACCTGCTAAAATGTTTGCTCACCGTGTACAAGGATTCGACTTTTTTTATTTTTTTATTCCCAGAATTCATTTCTTTCGGTGTAATCAAACACCTTATTTGCAGCACACACCCACTCACAGCACAGATTTCATCTCCGGTGGGATTAGCTGTCACTAACGCAATATGCCCTGCAACAATGCTTTGCCAAGTGTCGGAAATCGCTTCAATGCAATTTATGATATCAGAATGTTTGAATGAGATAAAGATGAAAAAAAAAAAAAAAGTGTGACAAGAAAATGCTTGTTTGCTAATCCAGTGCCAAAATTCAGTGTGTGAATAGACTCCAGGTGACTAAAGCTGATCTCGGACCAATTTATTAATGTAGACAGCTTCCACACTCACATACTGAAAGCACTGCCTGACACAGTTTCACATGAAGATAACTTGGGGGAAGAAAACATTATCCAAGAGCCTTTAGTAGTGATTCTCTGGTTAGTTTTGCCTACTAAATTGTTTTGTTGTTTTAGTTTTGTGGTTTGTTTGGGTTGTTTTTTGTGGTTTGGTTTTAGTATGTTCCTTTTTTTATGTTACCTTTTTGTTTGTTTCAGTTAAGTCTTTAAGGTGTTTTTGCTTTGTTTCATGTTGCTGTTTTTGCTTTGTTTCATGTTGGCTGTTTTTGTTAGTTTTTTTTTGCTTTGTTTCATGTTGGCTGTTTTTGTTTGTTTTGTTTGGTTAAGTCGTGTTTTTTTTGCTTTGTTTCATGTTGGCTTTTTTTGTTTGTTGCTTGTTTGTTTAGTCAAGTCTTGCAGGAAATTGGGGTAAAAAAAAAACATTATCAAAGAGCCATTAGTAGTGATTCTCTGGTTAGTTTTGCCTACTTAATTGTTTTGTTGTTTTAGTTTTGTGGTTTGTTTGGGTTGTTTTTTGTGGTTTGGTTTTAGTATGTTCCTTTTTTTATGTTACCTTTTTGTTTGTTTCAGTTAAGTCTTTAAGTGTTTTTGCTTTGTTTCATGTTGGCTGTTTTTGTTTGTTTTGTTTGGTTAAGTCGTGTTTTTTTTTTTTTTTTTTGCTTTGTTTCATGTTGGCTGTTTTTGTTTGTTGCTTGTTTGTTTAGTCAAGTCTTGCAGGAAATTGGGGTTAAAAAAAAACATTATCAAAGAGCCATTAGTAGTGATTCTCTGGCTGCTTTTACCTACTGAATGTTTTGGTTTAGTATGGTTTTTGTGTGGCTTGGGTTCTTGTGGTTTTGGTTTTAGGATCAATTTATTTATTTTGTTTAGTTCAATTTGTTTTTTTCTTCTTCTTTGTTTCATGTTGGCTTTTTTGTCCAGTTAAGTCTTCCAAGAAATTGGGGGGAAAACATTATCCAAGAGTTTAGTAGCGATTCTTTGGATATTTCCCATTGTAATATTTTGGCTACATTTTATTTTAAGGTGATAACATTGTACTTACTCAAATAAGAACTGAGTAATATTAATTTACTACGTGTACTAACTATAGAGTCATGGTTAGTGTTAAGGTTTGGTTTAGGGTTAGTTACTTGAAATTATGCATAATTTACTGTTATTAGCAAGCACATGTGGTAACGTAACTACGTCACCTTAAAATAAAGGGGCACCAATATTTTTAATTCAATAATGCCACAGTACTTTTTCAAAGTACCTCGGACCACCACATAAAATCTTTTGTGGTAAATTTGCACCAAAATGTTTGCAAACATTTCACTAAAATTCAATATTTTTCATGATAGTTTTTCTTATGGAATTTTGTAGATTCAAAAACATTTGAACGAATTGAAGATAAAACTCTCAATTGAGTGAAACTTGAATGTCATTCTGTACCATAGTGCTACTACAATACAAGTAGGATCCAATAAAGTTTGCCAGGTGATCTTTTTCCTCCACCTTGTCTCAAGGCCAATTCACACTGCACCAACAGACGGCAACCGACATTTCTTCGGGTTTTGTTGGATCACCTGTGTCTGTTGCTGTTGGTTGCCACTTGTTTTCGCCAAATTTGTCTGCCGTTTATCTGGTCGTGAGAAGTGACTTTTTAATCTGGTGATTGTTGGCTTCTGTTGGTGCAGTGTAAGTTGGCCTTTACAGACTTCTTTGTTTCACAATTCATTTGAATCACCATCTCTCTCAGAAAAATATCTGCAGGTTTCTAACCCCCAACTGAGATTGTGCAGATCCAGAGAATATTGTGGCATTCTGTGTGAAAATTTCAGCGGCCCTTAAACACTGTTCCCACACGGCAGCCGAGTGTGGGCAGTCACCGCCTATTCTGAAATTCCGAAAGTGAACATCCAGCCAAAGGAAAGGGATTATTGGGAAACTAGGGAAGTCAATTGGATGGTTTAAAAAGTAGGCAAACGTGTCCATGAGGGGTCGCTGAATGGCCCTCCTGACCTCTGACCTCTGAAGAGAAGTAAAATGCCAAGTAAAACAACTAATGGCTGTCTGAATATGATACAATAACAGTGAAATGCATTGAATAGATGGAGGCCACAGAAGATGTCATATAAACAGACGGTGGTATATAAGAAATTACGAGTTTGTTATGCAGACTGAGCTGAAATACAAGAAATGTGAGTCATTGGTATGTGAAAGGCAAACTGGAACTACTGATGATTGGACTGCAAATACTGTTTGAATCATTTAGTTGGAGACACTCTTTAGTCAAACTATGGTTGGCAGGGTTTCAGTTCGTTTCGAGTCATGTTGAATTTATGGCTTATTTTCTCTATTTTGGCCTGATGAATTGAGTCAGGATTTCCTCCAGTGTGGTGGGTGGGGTTGTGGGCGGGGCTATTTCTCATGGGTCCCATTTTTCGAAGCTGAAGGGCCAAACATCAAAGACTCCAAATGATAATCATCACGCCTGATGTGTTTACTGCATTTCAAAGGGGTGATTGAGTTTATTATCTTCTATAATGTTGCTCTTGTCTAATGAGTCCTTTGTTTGTCAGATCTCAGAATTTCCATTGTTCCTTTCTCGTTTCTTTGTTCATGAAGAAATGTCACATTATTCACGTCGTATGCGGAATCTTTCATGTTGAGATAAAACCTTTGAAATGTCAAAACTGTGACAGGTAGTCCTGATGTTTTCCAAGTGATAAATGCACTTCATTAGTCTTGAGGGGGCTTTAGAGATGACAATAAGATGAATCTAGACATTTACATTTCCTGAAAAAAAAAGTTGAGCCATCATTTTTGTTCTATGTACTTAAATCGGCAGATGTTATTATTTAATTTAGAACTCCAAACGTTGAAACATTATGACGTTATTTTCAAACCTAAACAAAATGTTCCTCAAATGTTGCAGTTTGGTCTTGTTGTTTTCCTAGTAAAAATTAAAACATTATACAGTTTTTTTTAAACATTAAAGAAAATGTGTATATATATATACACTCACCGGCCACTTTATTAGGTACCCCATTCTAGTAACGGGTTGGACCCCCTTTTGCCTTCAGAACTGCCTCAATTCTTCGTGGCATAGATTCAACAAAGGTGCTGGAAGCATTCCTCAGGGAGTTTGGTCCATATTGACATGATGGCATCACACAGTTGCCGCAGATTTGTCGGCTGCACATCCATGATGCGAATCTCCCGTTCCACCACATCCCAAAGATGCTCTATTGGGTTGAGATCTGGTGACTGTGGAGGCCATTTTAGTACAGTGAACTCATTGTCATGTTCAAGAAACCAATTTGAAATGATTAGAGCTTTGTGACATGGTGGAAGTAGCCATCAGAGGATGGGTACATGGTGGCCATAAAGGGATGGACATGGTCAGAAACAATGCTCAGGTAGGCCGTGGCATTTAAACGATGCCCAATTGGCACTAAGGGGCCTAAAGTGTGCCAGGAAAACATCCCCCACACCATTACACCACCACCACCAGCCTGCACAGTGGTAACAAGGCATGATGGTTCCATGTTCTCATTCTGTTTACGCCAAATTCTGACTCTAACATCTGAATGTCTCAACAGAAATCGAGACTCATCAGACCAGGCAACATTTTTCCAGTCTTCAACTGTTCAATTTTGGTGAGCTCTTGCAAATTGTAGCCTCTTTTTCCTATTTGTAGTGGAGATTAGTGGTACCCGGTGGAGTCTTCTGCTGTTGTAGCCCATCCGCCTCAAGGTTGTGCGTGTTGTGGCTTCACAAATGCTTTGCTGCATACCTCGGTTGTAACGAGTGGTTATTTCAGTCACTGTTGCCCTTCTATCAGCTCGAACCAGTCTGGCCATTCTCCTCTGACCTCTGGCATCAACAAGGCATTTCCGCCCACAGAACTGCCGCTCACTGGATGTTTTTTCTTTTTCGGACCATTCTCTGTAAACCCTAGAGATGGTTGTGCGTGAAAATCCCAGTAGATTAGCAGTTTCTGAAATACTCAGACCAGCCCTTCTGGCACCAACAATCATGCCACGTTCAAAGTCACTCAAATCAACTTTCTTCCCCATACTGATGCTCGGTTTGAACTGCAGGAGATTGTCTTGACCATGTCTACATGCCTAAATGCACTGAGTTGCCGCCATGTGATTGGCTGCTTAGAAATTAAGTGTTAACGAGCAGTTGGACAGGTGTAC